TCCTTACATTAATTTAAATATTATTTTTACTATTAATTATTTATTATACTACTTCTTATCATTTAAATTAAATAAACTTTGAGATTATTTCATTTATTAAGTTAATGAACTTGAATAGGTATATATTTTGAAAATGTAATATAAAAATTTTAATTTTTTATTAACTTCTTAAATTTTTAATTAATTATTAAATAAATTATAATAGATATTAATATATCTGTTCAACAAAAATCTATTAATTGATCGAAACGAATTCGAGGTAATAAGGTTCGAGTATATAATAATATATATATAAATTGCTCGAGGATTTAATGACACTCGTGACAGTGCTGAGATACCAATTGGCATAAAGTAGTGTATTGTAAATCACTGTATGGTAAATTTTTGGGAAAATGGAATTATTTCTAAATATCGATAGCCAATTATGGTTATTGAAAGCACGAATAATGGTAATTATAGACGGTGATACTTCGTTTCTAATTTCTATGGTGTTATTAATAATAATAATGATTGGATTATTGTTAATCATTCCACGACTAAACGATGTTCCACTTAACTCACTAGCGCCACCGCGGTCTATATCTACGACGAATGTAATGTATCCAAATTATTACATATATGTAAACTTTGTATAAATTTCGAAGCCCCTAATTGTCCCATATTTCCACGTAGTCCCAAAAATTCGATAGCTGACATCCTCTAGTAAACTCTGAGCTAGATTACGGAAATTATACTGTAATATCATGCCAAAATGAATAATAAACAAATAATAGTATGAACACTGTGTTGCTATTGATAATAATGATAACTGAATTATTATTAATCCTTTCACGAGTGAACGTTTTAAAGCAGCCTTAAGACGACGTCCACGTAACTCACTAGCGCCACCACGGTCCATATCTCCGACGAATGTAATTCTCATTATATATGTACATAAATTATTACATATACAAACTATATATAAATTAGGAAGCTCCAAATTCTCCCATATTACTATATGATGTCAAAAATTCGATGCCTGATCTCAACTAGAAGACTTTGAACTAAATTTAGAGGAATTCTACTCTACTATCTCGTTAAAATTAATTATAAGCAAATAATAGTATGAGCAAAAGCACGTAGACTACTCGATAGAGGAGACAAGGCGTAACAAGTGGTTCTACGAATACGAAATGACAGAGGAAAGGCAATTATCAGTGATCCCGAGCCCCCTAACTTCCAAGCAAGAGACTGATCTGACCGACTGTCAGTTCCGGTGTGTTTAATTGCTGGGAGCAATTGGTTGGGAGCCTGTCGATGGAAAGAAAGTTAATTAAAATTCTATAGCTTCTACGACAGCGGGTGCAGAGGAGAGAGTAACCGGGGGTGACATTGTTCGAGGGAAGAAACTTGGAAGGAAGTAGGCAGCAGTAGTGGTGCTTCGAAGAACCCGTAAAGGTGATTTGTTCGGCTATTAACGAGACGCGGATGGCAGGGACGTTAATGGAAAATTATCGACAGTTACGAGGCTCGATGCACCGTTACGACTGCCGAACGTCGTAAATAACAGTCGGTTATATGCTTGAAAATACCTCAGAGGCGTGCTAGTTTCTTGCCAGGTACCGAGTTAGCCATAAATCGCCGGAGTCAAGCAATTTCGAGGCTTTTCGCCTGGGACCTCCTTAAAACGCAAATTTCCCTGTTGCTCGCGTGGGGAAAAGAAACTTTGCTGAACTGGACTATGTCCATGCTAAATTCGAAGTGGTCCAAGAATAATACGCCAATATCGAGTACCCCTTCGGCCAATACAGGGTAGTCAAGTGCGGGTTGACTTCCCCGTTGGTTGGACCATGTCAGTTTCATTGGTACATGAAGAATCTCGCATCCAACACCTGTCAGTATGACACAAAGGCGAGGAATGACATTGAGCCGTGCAATGCACCAAGTATACCCCGAAACAGACAAAATTCTTGCTGAACTGGACTAAGACCAGGGTAAGACCAGGGTAAGACCAGGGTAAGACCAGGTCTCGCTCTATCCTAACTACGAACAGAGCTTGGGCTCATCTTCGTCAGATCTAGGTCCCTCTGACGAACGTTCCAAAGCAGCGAATGTTTTTAGCAAACACAGAACAGTTCTCAACTATCCTAAAGAGACAAAGAAATTGAAAATTCGCTCTTTACTTCGCAGGAAAAGACTCGAGCCCGTCCCGAGTCTAATTCTCGGGGTCTAACTAGATACCCTAACCTTCTTACGTTCCAATGGATATTCTTCAGCTTTAAACCAAGAAATCCAAAATCCTGATGGATCGTAAATACATTTAGAAGTGGACAAAACGAACTGGTCTTTGTCTCAGACAAAAAAAGATGGAGAGAAGACGAGAAGAAAGCCTGTGACTATGGAAGCCTCTTGACAGCGTCCAGGCTGGAGGAACGAAACGTGCACCCTTTCCCCGAAAGAACTGGAGGAAGAAAAAATATGGAGAACTGGAGCATCGAAGGCTCTTCAATCGGTGACTGAAACAGTCTGCGTGGAAATAAGAAGGAAACGAGATGACACGAGCAGAGAGAGAGAAGAGAGGAGAAGAGAAGAGAAGAGGGAAATGAAAAAAGAGAGAGACCGGAGAAGAGAGAAGGAGAACAGTGGCAACGTCCCTGAATGAGAAAGCGGTTCGATGCACTTGCACGATTCTCTCCTCCTCTGCTCCTCCAGTCCGCCTTCTGTGCGGACGTGTTGCAACACGAGGGGAACCAGTGTACAGGAGGCAGGATAATGCCAGGACCGTGTATACTACGTGGACAAGAACGGGGAAACGCCGACCAGCAGATCGGACTGATTCGAAAGCCCTCCCAGGTGCCGAGCTTTTTGCCAGTTTCATTCCTCTTCCATTTTCTTCCTTCTGCACCTTCTTCCTCGTTCCTTCCACGATTGGAGAATATCCGAATGGGTGAATATGGTGGATGGTTTTGGAGAAATTGAGTCTGAGGAGTGTCAAGCTGATCGTTCGCGTGTCGTTTTGATTATGGTCGTTGGAAGAGACTGACTGGTCGGAGAGACAGGTGGATCATACTGACGTACACTTGCTATGTAATTATACGAATTTCGGATATAAACGAAGGAAATCGAGGTGTGGATAAATAAACAAACAGTGTGAATGTAAATACGAATATAAATATAGGTAACAAAATGTCTGACTCTCTGAAGGGTTACTGGACTACCCTAATTCAACTGTTGTACATGCCACTACTATAATGTAGGATTTCCTAAACTCACTGGTAACCAAATTTTGTCAGGATGTAACTAAAAGTAACTTCAACGGAGACCAAAATTGACAATAATTACTTATCTGTGAATGTAAATACAAATATAAATATAGGTAACAAAATGTCTGACTCTGTTAAGGATCACTGGACTATCCTAATTCAGCTGTTGTACATGCCACTACTATAATATAGGATTTCTTGTTAGGTAGGATTTCCTAAACTCTTAACCTAAAATATTTTCTTCAACTGGGTGACTAAATCTATGATCCGAAGGAGTTGCACTGTTCTTACTAAGAAAAATGGCGTTTATACCCTTCTGACGAATAAAGGGGACGCTTTCAAGTTGCTACTCCAACTTAAAAGCTTGAATGAAAGCTTTATTAGCTACCTGGTGGAAAATCCTGGTCGACTGAGACACGAGGCAAGTTAATCTGCTGTTTTACTAAGGGAAGAAGGACGCCGACCACGAGAAGGCATCGATTATCCGCGATTTATAAAACGATTCGATCAGCCGGACCACGGAGGCTCGAAACCGCAACGAGTCATTCCACTTAAGCGGGCAACGACGAGCAATCAGAATGGTTGATCGCGACGTCGCGCGGCTATCCGCGTTATTATCAATAAGTTCGTCTCGAGAAGCAATTCGAGCGAAGCTCCGGCGACGTTTATGTCGCAGACCCTCGTCAATCATTATTTACCGGCGGGCAACAGTGGCCCGTTGTTTGTCTTCGATTCCGCTGCCAACGAGCCGCGGAACGAGCTAACCTCTACCGTAGCATTCGGCAGGGACGATCTCGAGGAGAGAGATCAAAAGAGAGAGGATTTTTGGAAATTAAAGCAATTTAAAAATTAGTATAGTTGAGAAAGGAATCAAGAATATCTACTTAATTTTATTGGGATTTTAAAAAATTCGAAATTGAGGAAATTTAATTAAAATTGGATTAATTGAGGAAGGAATAAAGAATTTCTATTTAATTTCATTTGGGAACTTGAAAAATTGCTGAAAATTGAAGAAATATGATTACAATTGAATTAATTGAGGAAGGAACGAAGAATTTCTATTTAATGTCATTTGCGAACTTGAAAAATTGCTCAAAATTGAAGAAATATGATTAGAATTGAATTAATTGAGGAAGGAACGAAGAATTTCTATTTAATTTCATTTGGGAACTTAAAATATTGTTCAAAATTGAAGAAATATGATTAGAATTGAATTAATTGAGGAAGGAACGAAGAATTTCTATTTAATTTCAATGACAATTTAAAAAATTGCTCAGAATTGAAGAAATTGTAGAAATAGAATATATTTTCAAGATTATCGAGAAGAAAATATTTTATCGTAAAAAGAGAAACTCGTGTCTCTTTGAAATATTCATACCGAATATTAAAAATTTGTTAAATAAAAAAGGAAACTCAAAATTATCTAGAATTAATCCTCCAGCCATTATACTAATCCAGACTAACCCACGTAAGAATTTAACTTCCCCTCCAGCATTTTCTAATTTCGATAAAGGACGAGAAATATTCAAATTTCCAATTTTTTAAATTACAAACCCACTAATACTAAACTCTCAAAAATTCCCATAAATAATCCTAATTATTTCTAATTAACTTGAATTAATCCACTCTAGACAATGTACATTAAGACAATTCGCGTCTGATCGATAGATCAAACACGTGGAGCGATTCGCGAGTGATTCGTCGAAAAGAATGTTAAAAAATGATGAAAATTAAGTAAACAGTAACGAGTAGACTCACCCTGCAACCGGTGTCATCTTCATCGCGAGCGCCCTGCTGATGCAGAAGCCAGCGCCACCTGTCGCGAACCAGAACTTCACCTTTTGCTGAAACAAAAGAAACGGAGCGTTAACTTCGTTAAATTCGTGGCAGAAAAAGCGTCGTTTACTGAAAGATACGTGATCGATCGTCCACGGGACAGGCGATCGATCGATCGTTGTCGATCGATTATCGCGGATGACTTTTCGGATTAGGGCCACGATCGATTACACCTCGTCGCATCGACATGCCCACCCGTCCCTGCTTTCGGACAAATTATGACCAAGGTGCGTAGGCTCACGGTTAGAATCCTCGATCTTCGATTGGAATTGATCGACGTGCGATCCACGAATAAATTTCCTCCCCTCTCCCTCCTTATCTCTCCCCCTCTATGAACAAACAGGGAAGGATTAAGTATAAGTGACAGGTACGCATCGATGATCGTGACCAAGACAAGACATTACAGCTTGTCCTCTGAATACGCTTTTAAAGAGGCTATATCGATTAGGTACACTCGAAGATCGAGAATTCTCGGATTAACTGCGAATTTTTGAGTAATACAGGGACCAAAATTACAGATTTTAGGTTGCTAATGTCAATTGGACTCGTTTAGACGCAATCGTGGCAGGGAAAGATAGTCTTCTATTCGAGATAATAGGCTAGAACCTAATCCTCAGCTAGGAAGATGAAAGAGCGAGCAAACAACTGATTTCAGACCTTTCTGAACTACAAAATACTTAATCCCTACAGGTGAAAGCGTTTCGACAGTCCTAAGGAGATTTTACGCATAACTCACTAGCGCCACCACGACCCGTATCTACGATGAGCGTCTATCTCGATACGATCTTGCAATTTTCTTCTTATTAACGGTGTCATATGGTGCTTTCACAAATTTTTCGGTCATACCTTGCTCGTGAAAGTGTCAATTACAAATTTCTCAGGCAATACAGCGATGAAAGTCGCGAATATTTAATTTTTGCGATCCGAAAGACCGATAATAATAAAAACTGGGCTCATATAGATGCTATCGCAGCAGGAAGACGCGGTCATCCATTTGGCATGACAGGATGGTCCAGCATCCTCTGCGAGAAAGTTGGAAGAATCGGACACCTTTGCCAGGTTCTCAGCTAATGCAGAGATGAAAATCGTAACTGGTCGTTCGCTGTGCTTCGAAAGATCGATGATGACAAAAACTGGACTGGTCTAGTTTGCCGTCATAATAGGAGCAAACAGTCTTCCACTTGGGATAACGGGATGGGCCAACATCCTCTGTAAGAAAGGTAATGGAGGAAGAAAGGGGGCATCGATCTGCTCGATTTTTCTCGTCGATCGACGAAAGGGTAGGTCGTTAAGAAAGGACCGAGGAGAAAGGTGTTTCCGATCAGGCTCTTCCCAGTGACCTGGAAAGTCCACGCAAGAACACGACCGACTCGATCATGCCGTGGAACGACACTACCCGAGCCTTTCAATTTCTATATTTATCGCAAATTTAATTCGAGAATCTGATCATAGATACGTGCCTTAAAACTCTATCTAATACCCGACTGACTGGAAACCAGGACCATATTTTCTCCTTTCACGTAACAAAATTGTGAGTCGATATCTACGATCCATTTCGAAAGTCGACTAATTAATTATTAATAATTAATAACCGAATAATTATTAATCGAGTAATTAATTATGAATTATTTAATTCACAATTTACTTAATTTACTCGTGAATTAAATAATTACGAATGCTGACTTAATAAATTATAAATTAAATTATTAAATTTTAAATGTATTAATTCAGAATTATTTAATTATTAATTATCGAATAATATCTTTTCTTGTGACAAAATTGGTCACCCATGTGCTATTCACATACGCGATAATGGAACTGTGAGCCAATATTTTCAATTATTTTCGAAAATTCACAAATTCAATAGGTGACAGAATTATTTAATTATTAATTATTGAATAATTAAACAAAGAATTGAATACAGATTACAATGTATAGTATACCAATATGGTACAATAAACACTATACACAGTATACTAGACAAATGCAAACTGTTTCAAATAACGAAATATTGATAAAGTAAGAACAATGATTCCTTAACTAACGAAATATTAACCATTTGCACTCGAGAGGTGAGCTTCAGTCACCATTTCATAAAATTTGTAAGATCCATATTAATTAATATATCAAATTTAATGTAATGTTACAGTGTGCGAGGTATATGACCACGTTGGTCATATATGACCGGAGCACTTGAGCTATTTGTATACTACAAATTGAAGGAAAATTGACAGTTGGTGCATTGCGAATATAAGCGCTAATTAGAAGACACTTTAAAATAAAAATTGCCACATTAAACAATTAAAAATTTTCATTAGAACATCGATCACAAAAATATTAGAACAAATCTTGCATTTAGCGGTGCACATCCGTGACAGTCAAGGGGTTAAAAAGAATTGAAAATATCTAGTGCTGAAACTGGGTACCAAAACGTACCATGATTTCCTTGGAAAAGATCCTAGAAAGTCGATTTTTATTGGCCGGATTACAGGAATAGCCACTTAATTAACCACTTGCGCTGGCAAGAAGTTCACAGACGCGTGTGCCAGAAGGGTCCAGTGTAACCGGCTGAAAGGCGTCACGACGTGTATACCACGTCGTTGGCGATTCTGCGACAAAAGCATTACGACGTGCGTGGCACGTCTTTGCAGCGTAAAGTGGTTAACGATCACCGTCACCTTTGAAACAAAGCAGACACTGGTCGTTGAGCAACACCGTATTCACCTTGAGTGACGAAAGGGTTAACAACAGGGTTCCTTATCTCCCGGTGAGGTAACCTCGCCATTTTCCCTCCGCGCGAATAAACAAGTCGGAAAAAGCGAATATACCCTTTTTTTCGCTCGACTTAAGTCCATACTCGCGAGAAATCGCGAGGAAATCGAGCGTGGCGAGCCGATTGCCTCGCGATCATGGCCGCAGGCCATTAGACCCGGACTGCTAGGAGACTCGGGCTCTATCCATGCCAGAGATCCTATCTCGCCGCTGGACTAGAACCCGTGCTCCTTTCCTCATAGGCTAGGCGTGGTACATGACGAACAACCGTGAACCGAGGCATGCTGCACGTGCGTACCTACCAATGAAACCGGTCTACCGGTGCTCAAAAAACCCGACAATACTCCCGTACACCGTTTCGTGCCCGGTTCGACCAGCTAGAGCCATGAATATTCGCCTGGAGAAACAATCGGACGAAGATTGTTCGCTAAAAGCCTCGCGGATCACTACGAACGAGGAAGTGACAGCTTTGCTAACACCAAGAGAGTTCCTTGGTCCTCCAAAAGGGTTCTAACCTGGTCAGAAGACGGTAGAGATCTAATAAATAGCACTTGGAGATTCGTTTATGACAGTGTTTAGACATTTCCCTCGGCCTGTTAGTCAAGGATGCGAGTTTTGACCTGGAGAAACGGTCAGAGGTGGCTAGAAGTCTATTAGATCAGGATGAACGAGGAAGTGGTAGCTTTGGTAACATCAAAAGGGTTGCTTGGACCTCCAAAATGGACTCCAACGTGATCAGAGAACGGAGGGACTCTGATAAGTAGCTCTTAGAGATTCGTCTATATCAGATTTAAGAAATTTCTCTCGTCCTGTTAGTCAAGGATATGAGTTGGCTAAAGATCTCTCAGATTCTCAGGAGCTTGGGTAACTAGAAGTGAGTTCATTGGTTCATTGGTCCTCCAGAAAGGAGTCCAAAGAGGTAAAAAATCAGTGAATACTGTTCTATAGTGCCCTTAGAGAGTTGTCTATGTCTCACTTAGCATGGTAGATAGGAACAGGAACTTGGCTTAGGCCCAGAGGCAGAAACGGAATTCTACTGCTGGAACTATGGACTCGTGACATGTACCCAAGTATACAGAATGCATAAATAATAATAATTAAAGTCCCATGATGGAGATAAATGAACATACATAATTACCTTTCTGTCTCAATAAGTCAACGTTAATTTTGCCAAAAGCAGCTGTACATTTCCACTCACTGCAGAAGCAAAAACTCCAAAATCAGTCATTTTGACTGATCACATAATTTTGATGTTAAACGTGAGTAATGCTGATGACTGAAAGCCTGATTAGCTCAACCCAGACTCCTAGGCAAGAGTCCAGTTAGTCTAACTCGTTAATAGCTGAGAAAACTAGGAACTTCGTCGAAATCGAGATAAAAATAGACAAAAGATCATCCAGAAACCAATAGCTAGCTCAGTTGGATCAAAATCCATCATCAGCTAGGTTCAGTATACCTGGAGATCACCAAAGGTCTCACGAAGACTCTCAATTCTGTGAGATTCGTTTTCTAACAGCTAACTGAAGTAGTAACCTCGTCGAAAACGAGATGAAAACTGGTAAAAATTATGCAGTAATAGATAATTAGCTGAATTTCCAAAAGTTCCAATCAGATCACCCAGAATCCACGAGGAACCAGGTTCAGTGAACCTGGAGACCACCAAAGATCACGCAGAGGCTGGCAATCTTGGCAATGTAACTTTCACGAGGGCCCGAAGGAAGATCGATCGAGTATCGTGGTGGATGTTAATTGCTCCATGTCAATTGTTAATTGCGGATAACGGCGGCGCTAATAAAGCGTCGAACCGGTCGTGCAGAGTCAGGTGAATCGGGCTACAGGCACGGCAGCCATAGTATGACGAGGAGGAGGAAACGGATGGGACCTCACGGACGCATTAGATATACACGGGCGATTGGCCCGGCAGATACGATCCTTCCTTCGCGATCTGCCCTTCCTTTCTTCCCTTCTGGGTCTTATTTGAATAACACGCGGGAAAGGAGTCACGAGAAGCCGCGCAGACTCGCGTGGAATCCTGGGGTCAACTCGCCACCGTCCAGGCTGACGTAGGGAGATCCTTGCTTTTGTTTTCTGGTGTATAGCGTACTCGTGTAGTGGGTTAGCTATGGGATAGACTGTGGACAAGTTTGAACTAGGTTCTGCTGGATCAATGTTAGGAAATTTATGAACAGCTACTTCAAAAGTCGAAGATGAGACACTGAGATCAGTTAGACTAGGT